TAGAAAAAAACAACCCAAGTCATTATTTAATAAAATTATCTACTTTTTCTTTACCACAATGCAGTCATCCAGTTCTTGATTTCTGTGATAAGTTTTTCTCAACACACAATGAAATTATCCCCCCCGGGGCAGTGCCACTGACTGTAGTGTCTTTAGGCCATTCCCAAAGGGGGGGACATTTCTCGTTCAAGCACAGTAGAATTGTAAATGGGCTGATTCATGTCATGCTCATAACTGTGCCTGATCTACGACAGGGAACTGCTGCTTTTTCTTTCCTTATTCCTTACTTTTGTCATTTTCCTCTACTTCTTTTGTATGTTTGTCACTCTCTTGTGACCCGCTATTTCCGGGGTGCCTTGATAGTCGAAGCAGACCTTGTGCTGTTGAAGCAAGAGAGGTGAGTAGAGTAAGTCTGATTCCCTGTAAAGACTTCTCTGTTGACACCCACCCCTTGGCGCTCATATGACCTTATACAGTTGCGAGTACCGTAAAACTATATTTTTTTTTTTAAACACAATGAAATTGATAAGATCCCAATTGTATTATTTTCACAAGACTTTCATATTAAAGCACAGATCCTTGTCTCTCAGGCTGCCAAATGCAGTGTCCAAATGTAGGCCTACTTTAGTTATTAGTGTTAGACACTGATATTCAAAGAAATTGCTTTTGGGTGGTTGGCGGGTGCTCTGGTGTGGTTTGCTCCTTCTTTCCTATCAAACATCTATCATCCTGGTCTCCCCTCCTTCTTTTTTGTGTTTGTTACTCTCTTGTAATACCTTTAATCTTCGGCACTTATATGACCTTATTTTGTTGCAAGTGCCGTAAAACTTACATAAACTAAACTAAAAAAAATTGCTTAGAAGTTAGTGGAAGACTCCATCATGCATCATTTTGAGACTGACGTATGAATCTTACTTGATTAGGCCTAATATTATAGTTGTTAGACTAGACTATACTGTGCTGTTCAAAAATGTACTGTATATAGATTCTAGTAGTTAGACACCATAAGACACTGATGACCTACGAGACCTGTGGTTGCCTCTTATGCTGTTTGCCTATTATTTCTGTGCCCACCAGATTCGTGCAAGAAGACGGCCATTGTGTTCGACGAGCTGGTCGCCTGCCTTGAGTTTGTCAACTGTCAGAGTATGCAGGCCCAGGTAACCTTCTCGTTTGACTTTCTTGTCGTTGTTGCTGCTGTTATTTTTCTTCTTCCTTTTCTTCTCCTTCTCCCCACTTTTTCTACTTCATCCTCTTCCCGTCTTGTTTATCTTCTTCTTTTTTTCTGTTTTTTTTTTTTCTTTCTATTTCCTTTTTCATATAAGCCTACTATATGTATATACGGGCATAGATATTTCAAACACGTCAGGGATTAACAAATTTGTTTGACACATCCATGAATCGGGAAAATATCGCTACTGGTAGTAAGAGTATGAAGAGAGAAGATCAAGGGGAGTAACTCTACCGGAACAATGGTTAGAAAATATATAACTGATTACCTGCCTTTGCCCCTCACCCATTGAAACTGAACTTATATAGGATATGTCGTCTGGCTCATTCAATAATTGCCTCAGTCATTTTTGGGGCAAACTGAGCTATGACCACTTAGCTAATTTCATTAGTTCCCCAGATTTCTGTGAAGGTCCGTTGGAGAATTTATCATTGTAATTCAAACAAAACAAAAAACCATTTAGAAAACACTATATGTGTCATGTGTCTGTTTTGTATGAGCAACAGTCTTTGTTTTTCTCGAAAGCAAAAAAATGACTTGAACAATTCTCGTATGAGCCTGACAATTTGCCACACATATTGTTTCTGAATAAATGATGCTCAAAATTATTATTAGTATAAGTTGTATTAAATGATGCTTAAAATTATAAGTTGTATGGTACCAACAAAAAAAAAAAATTGTTTAAATATATATATATTCTTTTCTGGGTTTCACTAATGCCGGGTATAAATCTGTGCTTGTCCTCCTACCACAGGTCAACAGAACTGTGCCGACAGTTAGCATTGACAAGACAGACGGTTGCCAGATTTTCCTGAGTGAGAAGTCCTTGGACACTGAGATCGTTTCAGCCAAGTCCTCAGAGATGAACATCATGGTGCCTCAGGGCAGTGGAGACATCGTAAGTGTGGGGGGTTGGCGGGTGCTCTGGTGTTGTTGGCTTCTTCTTTCCTACCAAACGTCTATCGTCCTTATCTCCGCTTCTTCTTTTTTATGTTTGTTACTCTCTTGTAACATCTCTAATCTTCTGGCGCTCATATGACCTTATGCAGTTGCGAGAGCCGTAAAACCTCTACTAAAACTAAGACATCGTAACTGACTGTCGAATATAAACTCCTTTATCCTGATAAAATCTCCCCCCCCCCCCCTACTTGAAACCCCCACTACCTGGTCCTAATCACCTGGAGATGTCATCTCTAACTCCAGACTCAGAGGTTGATGTGTAATGACCCTCCATCCTTCAAGGTCACGAGCTGCCGTTACACATTCTGCTATACAGTGCAGCCTCCCTATAACGACTTTCGATAAAATGACAATCTCTGTATAGGGCCTTGGTGCCCAGGTCCCGATTTTTTCCTTATATCATTAGTAATTTTTGGTTGCCTCTCTATAATGACAATTCTCTATAATGACATTTTTTGCTGTCCCCGACAATGTCGCTATTAGAGAGGCTGCACTGTATATCCAGGCCAGATACTCTGGATGCCTTTGTACATAAAAAATTAAGACTACCTGCTTAGACCATGTGGTTCAATTGACATTTTGCTCACAATGTTTTTATTTTTTTTTAAATGGAGTATACATTTCCTTTTCGCTAATGTTTGGAAAATATGGATTAAACTGAACAAGATATAGTAAGGTTTGTTCATAGTTTAGAGGCATACTTCAGCATGAGTACTTTTGTCTCTGATTCTGAAGAGAGCAGTACGAAGTGCCATGTTTATTTATCAACGGTCACTAAGGAAGGAGTTAGAGCACAGAACTAAAGACTTGACCTCAATACTGTTGTTATCGTTGTATTGTAGCATGTAGGTATAATGGAGGAGAAAAAAGTGGACAGCGATTTTTTTTTTTTATTACTGATTGTAAATGAGCAGGTGCCCCAAGGACAAAGGAAGTAAACGGAAAAAGTGTAACGAGAGGGACGAGAAACAGGACACACTGGATTTGGGTGCAAGAGTGCACTATAGTAGTATTTTTGGCTTACTTTTATGCTCAAACCTTTTATTAATCTTGTCCACAGAAAGAGTTTGCCCTTCCCGAACAATTCAAGACGGTGTACAACGGGAAGCAGATGGTCACCCAGCCGTCCGACCTGGTCTAGAAGCTAAGCAGCGCCGCAGATGTCGCAACTACTACTAGAGAAACTATTTGCCTTATTGACTCTGCCATTAGCATGATTTCACATTATAAGTCATTTCGGAAATAATAGTAATTTTTTTGTTAAGATAAAAAAGAAAATACTGAAAGTCTGAGCTCCTTTTTATTTTTTGGTTTTTTGTTTTGTTTTGTTTGGGGGGAAGGGGGCCGCAATGGAATTATTCCATAATGAATGGAAGTTTTCATGTTACCAGGTTTTAGCACAGTTATCTTCCAAGATTTCTGGAAAGGGATATATTATATTGCTTTTGGTGGCAATTTCTGGAGGCAATACCAGTTGTAAAAAAAGGTTTGCTCTCTGATATTGAACACATGAATTATGTGAGACAGAGAACATGCAGATGCCGTTACTGGGCAAGGAACATGGAGCACTCTCAGTGGAGCAAGAGATTAAAGTTTTGTTTAATAGGGTCATTTACCTCGAAAACCATGCCAACATTGTTTCTGTAAAAATCCGAACATGTTAATTAATGTGATCAGTGAATGAATGCTCTTCTGTCATGTACTCTGGATTGCTTTTTGAAGTAGCAAAGTGTGTACGTCTTGTATATTATCTTCGATTTCACTGAACAAACTACAAAGATGAAGTGGATCTCAAATTGTAGAGTACTGATGTAGCCACCAGTATCTTTATATATTTATCTTTTTATATTATAAAATTCGGTACCGTACGGTTTTGTAGAAAATTATTTTGAAATAGTTTGTTGAGCTGTTATACAACCTTCCCTGCGAGCTGTAGACTTTCAGGGCAATGTGTTCATATCGGGATATAGTCATTGTAAAGATATTGAGAAGAGTCTAGTGTTTTGTATAAAGTATAAAGACTGGCCAAGAGAAACTAACAATGAAGAGTTTCCTTAACGTATGAACAAACTGGTCTGGTGTTTGTTGGTTTGATTTTATAAGCCATTGTTATGTATAAAACAACTTTTCCATATTTATATGCGAGACATTTTAAATTTTCAATCTTTTTAAAACATTTTATTACTGACAGACCACTTTTTTTTAAATCCCGCTTTAACTTTGAACATTTGAATTTTGATTTTCTTTGCCTGTAAAGTGCAGAACTTCAGTCGTCCATAACTCCTGAGATAACTTGATGTTGGAAGGCTCAGTATCTAACCTTGACAATGTTTATGTTAGTTTAAAATTCCCTCTTCCTTTTGCCACACCACACAGAGCTGACAATCCTCCAGTATCCCGAAAGCTAAGAATCTTCTCACTATTTTTGTAATGATTATTGTAATTTTTAATTGTCATAAATGAATTTCCATGTTTTTGAAAAGGTTTATTTCCTCCTAGCTATTCCCTAACTGCTTGCAGTTTTATTTGATACAATAACCACAGGACTTGATAGTTGAGGGTGATACTGTCTATGTATTGGTTGGCCTGCACAGTTTATGCTACTGTTATACTTTTTCTTGTTTTTGTTTTAAGTCGTGATGTTTATTTCTCTTATCTCTAAATACCATGCCTGTGAAATTTTTTTCTCATAAATATATGCATAACAAACAGCGAATCCGAGAAGAAACTAGTGGGTGAGTCTTGTTGAATGATTGCTATAGTATTCTGTCAATACAAAGTTCACACTGCAATAAAATAAGTTTGATGACTTTGGAAAACTAAAATGAAACTTAAAGAAAAAGATAACCCCTAAAAGCTGTATCGCAATATGTTGATAAATTCTCGTGTATTAATGGGACTTTTTGAAGAACTACTTATCTGAATTGTTTTCCAGTTGTTGTTTTTTTGTGTTTTTTTAAATTTTGTGAACTGTTGTGGCTGAATACTGAAACCTGGAATGGAAGAGTCCTGCCTGAATATGTTAATATTATTTCCTCTGTGAATTTATTATTTACATGACACGAGTTTGTTTTGTTCAGCTTCGTAGTGAGATATATAAGGGGCCATGGAGACCAGCATTCAGACTTGTGGGGGGGGGGCACTTGATGATGCGACTATTTTGTGTACTGAAGTCTGTCACAGAGAGCAGCATTGACATATGACAAGACGGCTGTCTCAGCTGGGTCCTGATTGAGGTAATTTAGCCAAAGAGCACATCTCTTGTTAAAAAGTTTTGGAGAAAAGATTTTAACCCTATCTTAATTTCTCTTGCTCTTTCTCGCTCCAACTCTCTCTCATTTTTTTCTTAATTTCGAAAATCTTTTAACCATTCATGGCACGAAATGTACACATCTTATATTTTTGCCCTCCTTTCTTGGTATCTACCCTCTTTTTTCTGGTATTTGCCCTCTACCCTGGTGTATTTTCTTCCTGCTAGCACTAAATAGCATATCTGTACAGGATAGATAGGAGACACACTGTTTTTATATATTGGTACAGAAAATTCTGAAAACTATCAATGCTGGAAAGTTTTATGTAGAGGATTCTGGGGTCTCGTAGGAAGCTCTCGTTATTTTTGCAAGTCATGCCTATTTTTCAAGTTAATGCTATCAATAAAGAGCTTAAACACTTTCAACCATGAGGCTATGTGTTTTACTGATCCCGTTGTGTTTTTGAGACTGTCCACATGCATACATCAAGGAAAACAGGAATGTGTGAATGACCAGATACACTAATATTCAGAGATTTTGAATACAATGAATTTAATTTGGAAACTGTAGTTTGTGTGTGAAAACTGAAAAAAACAAACGGTGATGATGATGACACATACACCCTTCATAATGTACAAGAAAAGCACCTGTGAGTTGAATCACATTACAGTAAAAATCTTTTCATCTTATATATATGGCTACCTTGTAGAGAGAATAATAACACAACATGAAAGTATATTATTTCAACATTGAACAACTTGGTGATGATTCAGTTTTCAGCCAAAGAACAACAATTTTAAAAGCCCACGACAAGTTTAAAAAAGTTCCCATTTGCCCCCTTCCTTGGAGCGTGAACATAGAGCAACCGCTTTCGTCTCGATACCAGCTCTTGTGGTACCAATACGACAACTGGTGACACAAGAATACCTCTTTCTCTCAATATTGCCAACACAGTGCATCTCTGACCTAAGCTGACAAAATGTCTTTTTTCATTGTGTCCCCAACATATTTTATTTGTTCGAAAGCCTGATCGGTTACCCTACTACTTGTGTGAAAAATATCAAAGTGACACAGACTAGTTTTTTAATAAATCAGAATTCAAATTTCGAAACCACTCTTGTTTTTAAATGGTTACGCTGACAAAAAACCTATTTTTCTCGAAACTGCTGTGAAGGAAAAAAAAGCGTTTTGTCAGCTTACGGCAGATCTGGCTCACTAACATTTTCATCACTTTAGAATTTGTTGCATAAAAACGAAGGTATTTGCCAAAAGTTTCTCTATGTTGGGAAAACTGGATGCATCCAAAAACCCCAGTCTGATATTAGCACGTCTTCTTTTTAGCCACAGCAACAACACAAGCAATGCTTCCATATTGTTCAACTATGTTGTGTCTTTTGGCGGGCAGTTAGCAAATCTATAGTAACATGTGCTACAACCATAATTTTTCTCACATCTTGTTGACCTCTCGATAAAGTGCTGAGATGTACACTAATCAAAAATGCTGTCCCCGACGTTTTATGCAAGAAAAATTCTGAAATCATGCAAACTGAGCCAAAAAATGGGAAATTATGCGATTCTGTTAATTTTAACAAAGAATGATAAAGGAAAAATAATCAGAAATCATGCAAAAAATGATCAAATTTTGCTAAATTAAGCGGGGTGCATAAAACCACGGGGACAGAAAATGGTAGCACTGTGTTTATGCTCTTAGAAAGAACACCATTGGCACTGACATTGCTTCAGTTTTACACAAGCTCAACAGGAACAGTACAAAGAATTTTAAAAAAATAAAAAACAACTTAAAATTCAACAGATAATTAATAATTAAAAATATATGTAAGAATTTGATACATGTAAATGATAAACAATATCAGATATAAACATTACAAAAGTAACAGCAATCAGATCAAAACTCAACATTTGCAAGACCTCCCCCTACATATGGAGGGGGGGGGGGCTTTCAAAGTGCACAGGGTGCATGTTCAAAGGCAAGTATTTTTTTTGGTGCTACAGAAAACATTTTCCTGAAACCCTGATCAGAAAAGTGATCAGATCAGAAAAGTTGTCAGATCAGAAAAGTGATCAGATCAGAACTCACCATTATCAAGATCTCCTCCTATATGAGATGGGCATTTTTCGACTGTATCTTGTACACATTCTAGGGCAAATATTTCTTTCTCAGGGCTATAGAACACATTTTCCTAAAACCCTCGAAACAGTATTGGACTACACTAACAATCAAGCTAAACTTTTTTCACTTTTAATTTGTTTATATTCTATTTTTCTCAAAACTCGCGGCCCATAGAATATTTGGCCTTAACAAAAGAAATATAATATACCGTTATTTTGATATTATGTGAATTTTCATTTTTTAGATTGAGATTTTTACCATGAATTTTTAACATTTTAATCTGATCATTGTCCAAAAAGAAACTGTGCTAAGAACTGTCATGAATACAACCAACTTGTGTTTCACCCACTCAAATGACCTAATGCAGCTGCGAGCGCCGTAAAACTTTTATTAAACTAAACTAAAAGTTTAATGTTAGTGCTTCCCAAATGTGGCTGAGCAAAGACTAAGAGGAGGAGGAGCTGAAGAGCTGTCAGGTCTTTGGCAGCAAGTAGTAGCTAAAAGAACCCTATGTTCTGGTGAACCAATCATGTTCTGAACTGCAATTAAAAAAGATTGAGAATCTGTACCCTGCTCCAGGACAAACAAATATACTTTTTGATAACCTCCCCCCCCCACACACACACACACATGCCCACATGTATACACACTAAATGAAATGTATAAAATCATTATTATGCTTAGATATGTCATATCAATTACATTTCAACAGAGTTCAAAAATAGTTCTTATCTTACACATCCAACAACACGTGCTATACTATGTATATATATTATATCAGATGACATATGTCATTACCTCACAATTATTTTGTCCAAAGTGCACGTAACTAGATCTATAGAGTGCACTTTGAACAACATAATTCAGAGGCAACCATTTGTCTTGACGATGTGGAATCAGGCACTCGTCAATTTTCAGCATATATGGAGTTGTTGGTATCATCTTTAAGTTTGTTCATTTGTCTTGTTTCGGTTGAAAAAAATACCTATCTATCTGGAACAGAAGTTGAGAATTTTGCCACTGAAGGTGGCGGTCACCTGGGGTCAGATGTGAAATTAGCAAGAAAATGGTCACCAAAGTTTAGTGATTTCCAAAGCTTGAGTGTCCTTGAAAACTGCACATTTACAATTTCTATGGCTTTGATCAATATTTTTCAGGAAAATCTACACAGAAATGAGTTTTTAAATGGACATAAAAGGTGCTGAACAAAATCAAGAAAATTTGAACGACAAAAAATTCCCAACAACCAGAGAAATGCCGGTTTCTTTGATTTCATTATTTTGACGAGTGCCTGATTTTACCACAATGCCTCATATGATTCAACACATTTCAAACACAAAATATGCTGTTCTTTCTACACAGTTCACTTATTAGAAGAGTTAGTAAGAGTTTTACGGCACTTGCAACACAATAAGGTCATATAAGTGCCGAAGATTAGAGGTGTTACAAGAGAGTAACAAACATAAAAAAAGATGAAGCAAACCACACCAGAGCACCCGCCAACCACCCACATACAGTTGACTCCCCCACAGGGCCGGTGTCTGTGGTTGGCGTAGTGGTTAGTATGCGCAGCGCTATGGCATGCATGAGACCAGAGTTTCATCCCTGAGTGGGGAGAATCTATATCGAGCATCTCGGCCTTCCGCCGACAGAGATGCTGTCTCCCTCTATCTACACGCAGGTTGGTCCTGACAAGCAGGGTCGGAAGCCCGCCTCCTAAACGATTTAACTTGTGTCAATGGGAACATAACACCACTTACTCCTACACTTAAACAAAATTTCTCCATTTGGCTGAAGGACACATGCTTAAGGCTACTGGATCAACAACCAGAGCCCCCCACCCCATTGACCCCAAGAAGACAAAAATAGACCGCTGCACTAAAATAGCGCTACAAAGACACCCTGAAAATGTCTCTGAAGGACTTCAACATAAATAATTCAACATGAGAGAGCCTAGTTCCTGACAGACCCAGCTGGATGAGAGAGCCTAGTTCCTGACAGACCCAGCTGGGGAACAGCAGTCACAGTGGGCTTCATATGAGGCTTCACGAAGAAGAAATGCTGAAACCAAGAGAGAAGCCTGCAAGCTGTGCACTTCCACTACTTGTGGAGCTTTTAAAAGATCAAAATGTGGCAAACGTTTCACTGACTGCCAGAATAGGTCTAATTGGTCACAGCAGAAGCCACAAGTCATCTTAACCTTTAACGTTAATTCTTCTATTTCCCTGGAGAAATATATTCTCGTCTGTGGACGTATTGGTCATTGTCAGACATTTGAATTTGACGGACGAGCACATCAACACAAACAAGAGCCATATTATATATATAATATCTCCTTTAACTCGACGAAAACGGGCAGCTGTAGAAGTTTATGAAAGATCTAAAAGGCTAGAAAATAACCACCCAAATAGAATTCTTGTTGACAAGTGGAAACCTAATCAAAGACTAAAAAAAACAAAATCTGTACTTGACACTGTCCTCAATCTCCAAGAAAAACATCACCTCCCTGAAAGACGAGAACCTCTGGAAAGAGTTCCCTCAACTCTCCCACCACATCTCACCATAGCAAAGCCAGAAATTAGGAAAACACTTTTGGACAAGCACAATAAAAACACATATCCTCTGGCACTAAAGAATTCTGCCCTTGAAACAATTGATTCCCATCCACCAACATGGATCCACTCATACACTGATGGATCTGCCTTTAGGGCAACAATCAACGCTGGATATGGGTCAGTGATCAACTTGCCCAGTGGGATCAAAAAAGAAGTCTTTAATTCCAGCGGGTCCTTCTGCTCCAATTTCACTGCCGAACAACAGGCCATCACCAACACAGCAAACTACATCAACTACTTGTTTGACATTAACCCACTTGCTACCACAGACATCGTTATCTTTACAGACAGCCTTTCAACACTAGAGACACTTGAGAGTGGGACTGATGTGAACAAAGATATACTGCATTTGATTTGGAGTCTACATAATTTGATAAGTAGGCACCACGTCAGAGTAGTCCTACAATGGATTCCTGCCCACACTGGGATACCGGGAATTTGAAAGAGCTGATGCTCTGGCAAAGAAAGGAGCTAGTCTCCCTCAGCCTGAAATCCCTACTGACTACACCACCTGCTGCCAAATGATCAAGTGAAACCTCAAGGAAGACTGGATGAATGATTGGGCCACAGGTACGACAGGCCACATGAATAAACCACTGGTCAAAGATCCAATAAATAAGTTGAAGAGGGGAGATCATACATAATCTTCCAACTTAGAACACAGCATGTACCCCTCAAC